ACAATTCTTCTTGTTTGGCCTCGGAGGCATGGATGTGGTTTTAGGCATGGAATGGCTAGCAAGCTTGGGAGAGATTAATGCCAACTTTGAACAACTAACGTTGGGCTTCAAGATTAATGGCAGAAAGGTGATTTTAAAGGGAGAACCAGAACTTTCAAAGAAAGAAGCCTCGTTTAATTCTATGTTGAAAGCTTTGCAGCAAGGCGAAGGGTTCCTTATCGATTATCGTCATATTCAAGCAGAGATAGATTGGAAGGATTCAATCCCATCGGAATTAAAAGATGTGCTACATGATTTTCCTTCCATCTTTGAACCCCCAGAAGGACTTCCTCCTCATCGGCGTCAAGACCATGCCATTCACCTCAAAGAAGGAGCACAAATACCAAATATAAGACCATACATATATCCTCACTATCAAAAAACAGAAATTGAAAAATTGCTTGCGGAAATGTTAGAAGCGGGAATCATCCGACCATCTACAAGTCCTTATTCTAGTCCTGTCATCCTAGTCAGAAAGAAAGACGGTAGTTGGCGGTTTTGTGTAGATTACAGGGCCTTGAACAAAATCATTGTTCCCGACAAATTTCTCATCCCGATGATTGAAGAGTTGTTGGACGAAATAGGAAGGGCCAGCATCTTTTCAAAACTGGATTTAAGATTCGGATACCACCAAATCAGAATGAAGGAAAAGGATATTGCAAAAACTGCTTTCCGAACACATAAAGGTCATTATGAATTTATGGTACTTCCATTTTGACTTACTAACACACCTTCTTCTTTTCAATCATTAATGAATGAAGTATTAAGGCCAGTACTCCGAAAATACGTTTTGGTATTCTTCGATGATATCCTAATATACAACTCGACTATGGAAGAACATAAGCAACATCTGCAAAAAGTACTAATGTTACTCCAACAAAATGAATTGAAGATCAACGACAAGAAGTGCTCATTTGGCCAAGATAACTTGGAATATTTGGGACATGTTATATCTGCTGGAGGAGTATCCGCAGATCTTAAGAAGTTGGAAGCAATGACATTATGGCATTTACCCAAGGATGTCACCAGCTTAAGGGGATTTCTAGGCCTTACTGGCTATTATAGGAGGTTTGTTCATGATTATGGAAGAATAGCAAGGCCATTGACCAACCTGTTGAAGAAAAATGCCTTCTAATGGAGTCCGAAGGCACAACTTGCTTTCGAACAATTAAAGCAAGCCATGACCAAATTGCCTACATTAGTCGTACCCAAATTTTCACAGCCATTTGTGGTTGAAACAGATGCTTGCGGAACCGGACTAGGGGCTATTCTAATGCAAGAAGGAAGACCCATAGCCTTTTGGAGTACGACCCTATCAGAAAGGAATTAGAAGAAATCAGTGTATGAACGTGAATTGATGGCAGTCGTAAAAGCAATCCAGAAATGGCGACACTACTTGTTGGGAAACCATTTTATTATTAAAACTGACCAAAAAAGTTTGAAATTTTTGACAGATCAGAGGATGATCAGTGAGGAACAATACAAATGGATTTCCAAATTAGTAGGATATGATTTTGAAATACAGTAAAAACCAGGGAAGGAAAACTCTGTTGCCGATGCCTTATCCAGGAAAAGTTCTTATTATGTCATGACAATCTTACAAATTCACGATTTCGAGGAATGGGCTGAAGAGATCAAACATGATGTCAAGTTACAGAAAATCATGCAAGACCTAATTATCAATCCTATGTCTCATGCTAACTACACGTTAAGGGATCAGAAACTATTTTACAAGGAGAAATTGGTGTTGTCCAAATCGTCCTCCAGATTCCCATCATTTTAAAAGAATTCGATTCATCCTTGGTAGGAGGACACTAAGGAATCTTCAGGACTTATAAAAGAATAGCAGATCTAGTTTATTGGGAAGGGATGAAAACCGACATCAAAAGTTTCGTTGCAGCTTGCGAAGTCTGTCAAAGAAACAAAAGCGACAACTTATCACCAGCAGGACTGCTACAGCCATTACCAATTCCTACTCAAGTATGGACAGACATTTCGATGGATTTTATTGGAGGACTACCCAAATCCATGGGGAAGGATACAATTCTGGTGGTGGTTGACCAGCTCACCAAATACGCCCACTTCATACCATTAGGGCATCCTTACACCGCTACCGATGTTGCTGCAGTTTTTCTACAGGAAATTGTAAGATTGCATGGATTTCCGTCTTCCATTGTTTCAAATCGTGATCCTTTGTTTTTAAGCAATTTTTGGAAAGCCCTTTTTAAAGCAGCAGGAACACAACTAAAATTCAGTTCGGCATACCACCCTCAAACGGATGGACAAATGGAAGTTGTCAATCGATGCTTGGAAGTTTATTTACTATGCTTAACATGTACTAAGCCAAAGAAATGGGTCTCTTGTCTTCCCTGTGCAGAATTCTGGTTTAACACCAATTATAATGCTTCAAGCAAAATGTCCCCTTTCAAAGCGTTATATGGACATGATCCACCTCACATTCTTAAGGGATCCACAATTCCTTCCCGCCTTGAAGAAGTCAACAAACTTACAATTGCTTGGGATGAATTATTAGCGGCTATGAGAGAGAATTTGTTGAAGTCCCAAGATGTCATGCGTGCAAATGCCAACAAACATCACTAAGATATAGAATATGAAATCGGTGATTGGGTGTTCTTAAATATGCAACCTTACAGGAGAAGATCTTTGACTAAAAGGATTAATGAAAACTCTCCCCTCGATTTTATGGTCCTTTCCCGGTGTTAAAAAAAGTGGGTGTTGTTGCTTACAAATTGGATCTTCCATCTCACAGTAAAATTCATCCAGTCTTTCATGTCTCTCTCCTCAAGAAGGCCATTGGTGACTCTTTCCAATCACAACCTTTACCACCTATGATATCTGAGGATCAAGAATTACAGGTTTATCCGGACGTTATTTTAGATATTCGTGAGTTACAATTTGACAACGTGGAAGTCTTAGTTAAATGGCAAAATCTCCTTACAAGTGAAAATAGTTGGGAATCTGTGGCCAAATTACAAAAGGTCTTCTCAGATTATCACCTTGAGGACAAGGTGAGTCTTGTAGGCGGGGGTATTGATAAGCCTAGGCCACCCATCACCAAGTTTTACACTCGCAGGCAGCGATGTCCAAGGAGTGCAGGATCAAGAGATGCGAATCAGGGGGCGTGACCCTTGGTGAATAAACACACCCATCCAAAAGGATGCAGCCCTTGAAACCAAACATCATTAAATCTAACAGTCACAACCCTTCAGATTAATTGTACCAATTAGGAACAGATATTAAATATAGTATAAATAGAAGCAAACCAGAATTAGGAAAGCATTCTAGAAAATTAGGAAGAATTGGAATTAGGAGAGACAGGCTCTCGAAAACCTGAGTTGTAATATTCCAAAATTATCTATATAAATTTCTATTTTCATCCTTTTCATTTCTGTTACATTCTTGTGTTCTTATCAAATTGCTATTTCTGAGAGCTGAACAAGTAAAGATTATGGGATGCTGATAGGAAATATCATGAACTATGTTATCTTATTGAAGATATCCATAAGTGCTTCCTAACATGTATTTAGATGGTTGGATTAGGGTGTTTATGCAAGTTGACGAAAATAGAGGTTTAGCTAACAATTTTTGAATACCCTGTTATGGGAAAATTAGACTTCATCATTATGGGAATAGCTAATGATTCTTCTTATTAATGGTAGTTTTGCAGAACTAGTATGTTAAATTTTGTATAGTTGAAAAGTGAGTTTGTCATTACGCACAAAGTTAGTTTGATCGTACTATTTCGTCCATTTCAAAATTCTGTTTTCAGGGATCAATTATTGGAAAATGCAGTGTTGTTTGCACTTCAGAGGATAAAAGAAATCCCAAATCATCTGTAACAGAGCAAAAGAAAGCAGATTTCTTTTTCCAAATGTACTTTCAATGTTGATAGGTGTGCTATTGAAGATAAATTTCCTGATAGGATTAACGGAATTGAAGGTCAGTTATCAATGTCTTGCATTTTTTTGACTGCTAACTTCATTGATTAAATTGGACACACCACATATAATAACTATTTGACCTGTTCATATGGTGCACTTGATTTTCTTAATTATGGCAATTTGTTGTTTTCATTAACATTCCATGTTGGTGTTCTGCAGTGGAGCAATTTTCTAATAGGAAAGGGGATAAAAAGACCATTGATAAGCTGCATCTTGAGGCAAATAGAATTCCTAGAGTGATAAAAAAGATAAAGATAAAGATGAAGTTGTAAATGGGGCAAGAACTAAGACCACTCCTTCTGATATTTTGCCTCCGAAAGTTGAAGATAAAGATGAATTGGGTGCTTCTAAGAATGTCTCACCAAAGATACTGATGAGGGCATCTGAGAATTTTAAAGATGAAAATGAAGTCAATATTAAGACTCTGATATGTTGCATCAGAAAGTTGAAAATAAAGATGAATTGAGAACTTGTAAGAATGTCTATCCAAAGATAATGATTAGGACTTCTGAGAATTTTAGAGATAAAAATGAAGCCAATATTAAGACTGCTCCTGATATGTTGTGTTTGGAAATTGAAGATAAAGATGAATTGAGAACTTTTGAGAGTTTTAGAGATAAAAATGAAGCCAATTTTAAGACTGCTCCTTCTGATATGTTGTGTTTGAAAGTTAAAGAAAAAGATGAATTGAGAACCTCTGAGAATGTCTCGTCCAAGGTGAAGATAACTTCAGATGAATTGAGAACCTCTGAGAATGTCTCGTCCAAGATAAAGATAACTTCTGAAGACTTTAGAGATAAAGATGGAGCTAAGATTAAGATTGGTCCTTCTGATACCCTGCATTGGAAATCTAAAGATAAAGATCAATTGAAAATTTTTGTAAATGTCTCGCCAAAGATAAAGATGGGACCTTCTAAATTATTTTAAGATAAAGATGGGGTTAGGATTAAGATTTCTCCTTCTGATATGTTGCATTTGAAAGTTAAAGATAAAGATTAAATGATAATTTCGGAGAATGTATTGCCAAAAAGATTCTTAGATTCTTATCCATCTAAAAAGAGGAAGTTCGCAGAAGAAAAGTCAGTCATTAGTCAAATTAACAACTCTCAAAAGAAAGAGGTATTTGATGGGAAGGAAGAATTTAGACAGGATGGAAGTGTCAACCAAAACAGGAAAGTTACGGAGGTGACTGAAAGGCCAAATGCAGTAAGTCTCAAAATCATTATAGTAATTGTAGTTTTGCTTAGTTTCATTGTTTTTGTACAGAATTTATTGCTTTCTTCACACAATAATCCTTGTTTCCTAGATAGATGAACGAAATGGATACATTATAGTTCATCTTCCTGTTTTGGTGCATTTAGAAATTCATCAGAGCAAATATTTTTCAACTAACGAAGTTTTATCATCATTATATATTCATGATTTCAAATTTTTCTTTCTTTACTGGATATAAATTACTTAACTTTATAACATGAGTTCTTAAGCAAGATAAAAAAATTGGGAATGTTGGTGGTAGCAAACAAGCATTCACAATTTTAACTTGTAAATGTGGTTTCAGATATAATATAGATATGACTCTAGCCAACGCCTAATTCTTTACTAACTCACATTTTTACTGTTGCAGGAGAAAAGAGAGTGGTTTAAGAAAATGGTGAGTTTTTATTTCTTTATTTTGATTGTTGATGTACCAAAATTTATATAATATGTAAATTGTGTTTGTAACGGAGGGTTTTTCTTGGAACTTCCACACTCTAATTTTCTTGGTCTAGTAGCATCTAAATAAATTAACATTTTCTATAAGCTTTTTAGTTTCATTTATATTCTACACGCGCTGTTGATTTTTTCTATATTTGATGATTAAAACTAAGCTATATTAAGCAGGTTGTGTTTGTCTATACCTATAACCATCATCTGCGTTATTCCATGCGTTTTCTTGTTTTACAAGCATAAGAATATTTTTACTTCTTTTACTTCATTTTGGTTGATATTATCAGGTGTTTTGCTACTTGGAATTTCTGGTATATTATCTTTTATGAGAAATTAATTTTCCATGTGAAATGCTTGGATCATTATTTTATTTAACCATATTTGGATTTGAAAATCAGCGAGGAATTCTGTTTATGTATGCCATACAAGGAGTATATTGCATAACTAAACATAATGGAGTTCTTCGTCAATGAACATTGTATTGATTCCTATGCTAAACAAAATAATAATGATATTCTTATAAATATTATTTCTCTTGAAAAACTAAAATAACATTAATTTAAAATAATTTTGTAGTTACGTATATTGTTTTCAAAATCTTCAAGACATCTTTACTGCAACATTGTAAATCGAAAACACTAAAAAAAACTATTAATAATCATTCAAAATCCATGGTATTTAATAGCTACAAATTTGGCTCAAATTCAAGCATGAGATCACAACAAAACTACATGAAAGACTCACAGTAATGGTGTGTTATTGGATTTCCTCAAACAATCTACGTATTAAGAACCATAGAAACAGGTATATACATGTCTGTGTGTTTGTGTGTAGTGTGTATTGTCTCTGTGTATTAAGAAACAAGTATATACATGAAAGACTGTGTCTTATCTTGTGTAAGTGTGGATTTCTGTAAGCAATTAAGACACAAAAGTCATCTTTTTCAAGTAGAATCAAGTAAGTGAAGATATTCTTCAAGCAATTAAGACAGAAACAAGTCTGCGTGTAAAGAAAAAAAATTTAGTAATTGTGACCTATCTTATTTTTATGAAGCAAATCGATTAAATTCAAACAAACGGCAGATCTAAGGTATAAACTATTATACTGTAATAAACAACTATAACAAATTCCTTTTTGTACTTCCTTCTGTTAACTTCAGAGACCAAATATGTCTAGATCAAATAATAATCATCATGTTTCATATAAACAGTCTAAAAACTTTTTCTTAAATATTCAATTGCAAAGCCTAAATAGACTCTGTCAGATTAACTATCAACTTAAGCCTCAATTAAATGTCAACTTACATTTTTAACTAGTTAGAAAGTCGTGCGCTCATGCTCCATACTCATCAATTCTTTCCCTATAAGAAAGATTGGATATAGAAAATATGATAATTGCATATCAAGATAGGTTTTAAATAAAGATAAAAAAAACTAAGAAGTTTGGTTTGGAAGTTGTAAAGGGTGTTCGTCATCTAGGTCCACTTCCACTCAAAGAAGAAAAAAAACTATTAAAACAAATTCACTTAAAATCCCAATGATGAAGGTAAAATTTAAAAGGTGAACTTAAAGCTCCGAGTTTCCAACAGAGTAAAGGCCCCACCTGAATCTCTATATCTCAAATTTTCATAGTTACCAGACAATAAAAAACGACTATTGAGAGATGTCATTAAAATTTTAAAATCAACAGAGAAAATATCACCAGAATTTATTTACCTTTAAAAGCAAACTTTACTATATTATCTTGAATAGAAGCAATTTCTAATATTAGTACATTAACTGCAAAATCTTACTTTTATAATTGAATTATTATTTTTCTATTGAATTAATATTAAAAGATTAAGAAAAATAACTTACATGTGTATTGAATGTCAACATTTCAAAGTCAAAGGCCAAAGGGAGTTGTAAATGTGTCGACTTCTATATTGACAGTGTCAACTCGTTCGACAACCTTAATACCTACGGCAGCCGATATCACAAAAGTTTCAACTTCCAAAGAAACAAGATGCGAGTGTTGTACATGATGCTGATTAGGTAGTTGAAACTTCTTTTGAAAGTTGAAACTTCTGTGATATCTGTTGTCGTACCTACTAATGTTGTCGAACAGGTTGACACTATCAATGTAGAAACTGACACATTTACAACTCTCCTGTGACTTAACTCTGAACTGTTAACATTCAATACACATTTCAGTTGTCTTTTCTTAAGTTTTTACTATATGATTTATTTATAAGTTATTTTTCTTAAGCTTTTAATATCAATTCAACAGAAAAATAATAATTCAATTATAAATATAAAATTTTGATGTTAATGTACGAATACCAGAAATTGATTTTATTGATCAAGATGTAGTAAAGTTTGCTTTTAAAGATATTTTTAATGGCATACCTCAATACTAGTTTTTTATTGTCCGGTAACTATAAAAATTGGGGATACAAATATTCTAGCGGGGTCTTTACTCTATTAAAAACTCTGAATAGCCAAGTTTTATATTCACCTTTTAAATCCTGACTTCAAAGCAGGAGTTTAAAAGATATTGTTTTTTAACACTTTACTTTCTCAACTGATTATTTGAAATAGTTTTCGATATTAATTATATTTCTGTAAGCTTTTAGCACTCCGATTTCGTGTTTCTTAAACCACTCATGTAAAAAAAATATTAGGTGATTTTTTTTTCATTTAGTTTTAATAACTTTTTTTCTTATTGTTTTAAAAATTATTCTAAATTTTTAATTTTTTTATCTTTATTTAAAATCTACTTTGATATGCAATTAAAGTATCACCAATCTTTCATTCAAGGGAAAAATTGATAAGTATGTAATATGGACGCACCACTTTCGGACTGGTTAAAAAATGTAAGTTGATGAGGCTTAAATTGATAGTTGAATATTTAAGAAAAAGTTACAAAAATTTTGCTCCTATCACAATTCTGTGTTGGGTTGTTGGGTTGTCTACTCAAGAGATCATTGAATCTCTTATATTGTTTAGACATCTGTTCAAAGAGTAAAAGAAATAATTCGAATTCGCAATGGCAACGCTCCAGAGGCAACGCTCCAGAAGCAATTCTCCAAAAGCAATTCTCCAAAAGCAAGTCCCAGAGGCAAGTCATAACAGCAAATCCAACTTTAGCAGTTTGCACAAAAACAATAGTAAATGGAATTCTGAGAATTCGTTTGAGGCGTTCTAAAAATCTCCGGAAAGCTAAGAGAGAGCTACGACTTTTATGTTAGAGTCGAAGTCATATTCGGAGCTCATTTTTCCAGAATTTCGTTTGAAGCTGCAGCACAGAAAAAAAAAATTAGAACTCTCTACCAGACCTAGAACTACCCGCTCGTATCACAAAAGGAAGCGTTAGATGTTAGGATATATTGGCGTGTGACTTTTCCCTTTTTTAAGCTGAGATTCATTTTACCTTCATGAATATAATTGTTACTCGCACATCCCCATACTGCAAGTCTCATGGAATATAACATGAAACAATTACTTCCTACACCAGCTTTTTATTCTTTTTTTCTTTTGTTTGTCCTTTTCCATTTTAACTCAATAAAAATAGTAAATAAGATCAATAAATAATGAGAAAATTCATGTATGTAATTTGGCATGTGTAGAAATTTTTTATATTTTTAGTTTCATTTTTTAATTCATTTTCTATTTAATTCTATATTTTTTCTTTTAATGCACTTTCTTTAAATTTCTTTAAATGTGATAAATAGTAGACCTTACTACATCTTCTAGACCAATCGAGGCAATTTCTAGAATTCTTACTTTAACCACAAATTGTGCAGAAGTTTGAACTTCCAAATCAGAAGCATGTGCAACATTCGCATCAACTTTAGAATCAGAAGGGATACCGCCATAGGGTTCAGTAACTTTCAGATCAGAAGGGATACTGGCAAAGGGTTCAGTAACTTCCGAATCAGAAGGCATACCGTAGTATCAACTTCCAAATCAGAAGCATGTGCAACATAACTTCCAAATCAGAAGCATGTGCAACATAACTTCCAAATCAGAAGCATGTGCAACATTCGCATCAACTTCAGAATTAGAAGAGATACCGCCAAAAAGGGTTCAGTAACTTCCGGATCAGAAGGGATACCGTCAAAGGATTCAGTAACTTTTGAATAAGAAGGGATACCGTCAAAGGGTTCAGTAACTTTTGAATCAGAAGGGATACTTTGCTTTGCTAGACAAAGAAATAGACCAACAAAAAGGCAGAAACAACCGGAGCCACCTGAACGCAGAAACAACCTACCACTCAGCCATCTGGCAGTATCCTTTTGATTCGGAAGTTATTGAACCCTTTGACGGTATCCGTCTGATTCAAAAGATTCAAAAATTACTAAACCCTTTGACGGTATCCCTTCTGATTTCGGAAGTTACTGAACCATTTGGCGGTATCCCTTCTGATTCTGAAGTTGATGCAAATGTTTCACATGTTTCTGATTTGGAAGTTGAAACTTCTGGTTAAAGTAAGAATTCTATGATGGTATCCCTTCTGATCAGAAGAAAGTTACTAAACCCTATGGTTGTATCCCTTCTGATTCTAAAGTTGATGCGAATGTTGCACATGTTTCTGATTTGGAAGTTCAAACTTCTGCACAATTTGTGGTTAAAGTAAGTGTGGTTAAAGTAAGAATTCTAAAAATTGCCTCGATTGGTCTAGAAGATGTAGTAAGGTCTACTATTTATCACATTTATATAAAGTGCATTAAAAAAAAATTTCTACACATGCCAAATTACCTACATGAATTTTCTCATAATTTATTGACCTTATTTACTATTTTTATTGAGTTAAAATGGAAAAGAACAAACAAAATAAATAAAGAAAAAAATAATAAAAAGCTGGTGTAGGAAGTAATTGTTTCATGTTATATTTCATGGGGCTTGCAGTATTGGGATGTGCGAGTAGCAATTATATTCATTAAGGCAAAATGAATCTCAGCTTAGCAAAGGGAAAAGTCACACGCCAATATATCCTTACGAACATCTAACGGAG